AGACCTGAGAGAAGGTTGTATGGGAGAACCCCCATGTTTTTACACCTGCCAGTGCCAATTGGGTTTTGTGGATGATAATGAGCTAGATGACGCTCAACTTTCTTTCCTTTCCTTATTCAGTAAAGTTTGGCTTGGTTTTATTGGGAGTTTTGTTTTGTTTTGGGAAATGTAACCGGAGCTGGTGCTTGGTTAGTTTATTTTATGTTTGGTTTTAAGTATCGGTTGATACTTGGTTATTTTTATGCTTTGATTGAGAAAGAACATGAGTGAGAATTCATGATCATACTCAAATGGATGTACTTAAAAAGACGGCTGTCTTCCACTCTGGAAACGGCAGACTTCGACCGACAGTATTCTAATAAACTCGCTTGAATGGCTATCTTGATTTTTCTATTACACCCTGGAAGCCTCCCTTAGCGAGCCTAGAACCACTACTCTCTGGCAGGTAGCACTCTACTGCTATTGTACCCCACCGCATGAAGTAGCACCCCGGCATAAACATGTAACACACATCCCCACAGATCCCCACATATCCCTACCGTCTACTAGTGAAAGTTGGCCGTACTTTGCCATCACCTACAGTCCTTATACCAGGATGCTAAAATTATGTCTGACCGTGTGGGGCCCGCGGTCTTTGCCAAAACCTGCAGTCCCCAATATTGTCCGGACTGGACGGACTATGAACTTATAGTCCCGTCCTGTCCCGTCTTCTTGGCAGTCTCCCCATGGGGCCTCCCGGGCCCCCGGACCATTGTGAACACTGGCCCAATGTAGCCAAATTCGGCACTATCAACACTGCAGGTGATAGCTTTTGCCAATCCGACGTTTAAAAAAAAGGTTTGAACTGTTTCGAACCAGCCGAACCTCGGCCAAGAGGTTATGATAGGGCAGTCTTTAGACAATCCAAGGGCCGTCAAGCGTGCCGCGATTGCACTTTTAACCTCCGGTTTTTCTGCGATCAACAGCCGGGCGTGAACCATCGATCGGAGCATCACGACAGTCCCAAAGGTAAAATGAATTGAAGTCGAATATTCTCACTTCTGCGTGTTGGAAGCTTATGTCTTTTCTAACTGTTGGCCGTAACTCGATTCTGATGTTTGCTCCGCTTGCTGCTCCCTTCTTTTTCTCTCCCTTACTCCCTCTCCCACTGCCCCTCAAGCAGTGGGCTTTATATACATCCATATCATAGCTTCTCCCATCCAGACCGGTCTCCTTGGTCATCCACATGACCCCGCTTTTTACCCCTCTTTCTGCTTCTTTGCACTTCTACGGACATCTCTCTACCCCACTTTGTTGACCAATGACTTTCCCTCTTGCCCCCTCGTGTATTCCCTTTCTTTGCCCCGCAATATAAAAATATATCTATAATACACATCTGTGATAATCTCTAGAACCTTCCATCCTGCTTATCAATTTCCTCCTAAGCATTACAAACATCAGACAATCCCGGAGAAGTCTCCAGTCCTCCGAGTGGCCATGGATGCGCAAGGGGTTAGTTGGAGTGCCGGTGATTTACAACAAAAGGAAGGTTGTGAGATCGCCCCAAGCCAACCTACCGTCATGCCGGTTCCATTACTCGGGTGCCAGCACTATTACGGCACCAGTACAGTAGGGTGGGGGGGGGACTTTGCTCCCGCGGGATTGGGATGCGTGAAAAGATCTTATAAAAGCAGACCGAAGATTCATTTGCGGGGTCCGCTAAGGTAGGTAGCATGATTTCTCGAAAACTGGCCAAGATAAGTAATCAGTGCTGACAGGTTACAAAAAGATAGACAGGTAGCAAACCCCTCGTCCCGGTTATTGAAGTAGCGATATGGGTTTCTGGAGTATCTCAGGAACAAAAGAAAAGGGGCGCCAGAGGTATGGAGGGCAGCGGGTGACTGTATCACGATTGTCAGAGTGTTAATACCGTGAGATCTCGCATAATCCACACTCTTAGCTTGTCTAGGAACGCCTCGTTATAGGATTGATCCTATCACTATCCGGAAAACACTAATCCAGGTTGCCAGTTTCTGGTCTGCGGGTACCTCCTTGGTGGTATGTGGAAATTCGAGGAGATCAGGGCATTGGGATACGAGGTGGTCTGCTCCGCCAAATCATGTGCTATACGGGATGTTTGGAAGTGCTCTGCGAAGATTGCGATGCGGAGTCCAAGAGAAGCAGTGAAGGGTATCATGCACTATTCGCGTATCATACCTGTGTTTAACCAGCAGGAATCCGGTAGAGTCTCCGGTGCTAGAGCCCAAAGGAATTATTAGAATAGATGTATAGGGAACCCGCTAAACCGGGGAAAGGATGTTTTGTCTGTCAAGTATCTATATAAACAGCCTGTAGATAAAGGACACAACCAATTTGTATAGAACCCTACGGTAGCATTGCCTCCCAGACCAACTGATAAATTATACAGAAGAGCAACACTCACCGCCACCTGGTGCCATCGTGTCAACCTTCCTACATGGGATCTCTTAATAGTTTAGTTTCGATCACATATGGCACCATTCCCAAGCCAAGACTTTCTCAGGGCCATCCGGATCACCGTTTTGGTACGGGGCAAACTTCCCAGATCACCTCGCTCATTGACAACCTGTTCTCCTTCACTTGACTCCGTATTTAAGGCCGGAATTGCTTCTTTTATCATAATGCGATAAGTTTTCCAATTCATTTCCAGGTTGTAAAGTGTTATGCTCCAAGTGTTTTATGGAATCCCTCACATATATGCCGATAAGGGTTCCCGCAAAAGGATATCACCCCCGCTGGGTATGCAGGTAGGTTAAATGCCCATAGTTTTCCGCAATGCCCAGTGTGGAGTACCCCTGGAGCACCCCTCGTCAGCCGTATTTGTGCACAGCAGTTCTGTGGGTCTACATAACTTGATAACTTGGCTAAAAGTAAATCTAGTTCACCAAAGAGTGTAGGCAGATTACTAGTTTAAGAAACACGCGAAAAGAGGCAACAGAAATAACATGGAAATTAAGTAGCTGCGGGAATACACATGAGAACTAATATAAGTGAACCGATTTCAATCGAGAACGAGGAAAGAAGAATAAATCTCTTTCCCCCCTTACCGGATAAATGGTAGTCGGACTTCTGGAGAACTTGAGATCTGCCTACTCTATTCTACTGTGTAATAGTTCTAATGCCGGGTGATTAGCGGTTAACGGAATTACTGCTATGGATGCTGTAGAGGATAAACCCAAACAGGAATGGATTTGTAACAACATAGCCAATGACAGGACCCCCAACATGCCAGTTAACTGTTGCCTCATAAAACGTCTTAGCCCAGGATACTGCAGGAGACCCGCTGAGACGGAAAAACGCGGGCTGCTCTGCTAGGCGCTGATGCAATGACATCACAGATACAGGCTGGGTATTAGAGCACGGTGCTGAGGATCAACAGACAGCCGAGAAAGTGATAGGGTGAGGTCAGAGGCCGGTGATGCTTAGTAGTCGCAGCTGCTATGGAGGGCGCTCTCCATATCCAGGTAACTTGCCCGGATTCAGATGGATGCAGGCCACCTGAGTTGGGTTGAGAAAAGCTATTCCAACCTTGTTGATATGTGGTGGCTAGCCCCCCACCTGGGGAGAATCAATTTCCGTCTAGTAAGTCCCTACTTGCTACTTTTGGTCTTATGCCGCCACCGTATCCACCAGACCCAGCATGGGTTTCCAGCCGTCTGGTGTTCCGTGGAGGTTGTCCATCACCACCTTGGATATCGATCGAGTTCGCACACCGCAAGGGCTCACTGATAGCCCTTGGTAGATATACTGTGCGGCCAAGCGAGGGGAGGAGACATCTAGGAAGAGAAACAGTTAGAGAAAATACTTGGAAAAGGGTATGAAGAGTAGGGGGAGTGAGCAGAGGAAGAAATGAATAGCTAGGGAGTTCTGAGGGCAAGTGGGATGGAGAAAATGGAGCGGTAAGAGTACAAATAACAAAATAGATAAAAAGGAGGACCAGAAGGAAATAGGTCAAGCTAAGAGGAGGGTATATAAGTATGGTTTGAAACTGAAAAATGTTATGAGGCACGGTCCCCAATTTCGAGGGGCTGACGAAACATTAAGTTGTACTTTTCTCCCCACTTACCGTTCCGCTTTCGATACCTTTGAGAGCCATACAGATCGGAAAGAGTACTAGGAAACAGTAAGGAATTTGGGTGTGAAGAAATAAGGAGACCAGTCCAAGACCAACAGTGGTACATTCTCCTAGCGATAAATTTTCTATTGCCATACAAACACAAATAAATAAGGATATGATGTGCCCGTAGGAGCAAGACAAGCCAAACTGAGACGATTTTCTGGTGTATGAGGGCAAGGCGGAAGGCACACTTTAGAATCGTAGGAATTGGTCCAGTCAGTACGGATGCTGGGCCGCCCCATCTCGTTCGGCACATTCCTAAAAGGTGCGGTAGATAAATTCAGCCAAAGCTAACAACTGTTATCCAGTTACCAAGTTTTGTTCTCCTGCAACTTCAGTATCATCCCAAAATCCAGAACCCCCACACCTTGCCTCGGCAGCATCCTTGTCCCAGCATTCTCCCTGCTCCTACTCCCGGCCCACCGGGAACTATTCCCCGTTATTTTCTATCCTAACAACCCAGTCGGGCAGAGATATTCGGGAGGGCATATAAACTTACACTCCGGATCTACACCACGGCTGACATAACGGAGGTCCTTCTACACCAAGCCTGTCAACCAATCATGGTAAAGGTAATATATTGCACCATATACACACCCGCGCACAGAAACTACTGATGCATACAGAGGTGTTCTACTTGACCCATGTCGGTGTATCAACATGTTATGAAGGACAAACAAGAACAAGCGGAATGATTAAACTTACATGTGGTCACTCAGAAGCCAGCAGCCATTGCGGTCCGGCCAGGCCAGCTCCCAGTAAAGTCGGCATACGCTAGGTGGGGCCCGAAGCCGTGCCCCCGCCGGTTGGGAACCTTGTTTGTGGTATGATACCTTCACAGCTGCTGGCTTGAGGGATGACGGCATTGAAAAGCGAGTGACAACTTATGATTCCGGAGCCCTAACGCCTGCCAACAAGGAGGTTGCTAGGTGAGACAAAACACGACATAATTCGCGATAGAGTCAAGAAATACACCGCTAAAAGAGACCCAAAATAGGAATTAAAATTTAGAATGTAGAAATTCCTAGCACTTCAAAGTAAACACCTCCACAGTTCGCCGCCACCTCTCATTCGTCGTTCCCGTTAGTTACAAACACCCCCCCACAACCCCTGGTGGATCCCCAAAGCATCTCATGCCGGTAAAAATCGGTAGCCCACTCCCGCCACCTCTCGTCCAGCCGAATTACCTGCGACATGATGAATCGCTTGCTCAAAAGATCGCCCTTTGCTAAGATTGTAGTGGTCCAAACATAACGGACAATGTGGCATGCATAGTGTGCCTATGGCCGGTCCGGGATTTTTGAACGTCTTTGCTGTACAGACCGCATCACCGCCTCTGATTCATCGTGCTTTCCTTGGTATTGCAGAACAAGGGCCAGCCTGTCCAGACTAACGAGAGTGCGGCGGTGGTCTGGTCCAAGAATCCTCTCGCGTCCCCTCAACGCACGCCGATTCATGGCCTCTGATTCAGGGTACTTCCCTCGCGACCTGAGCGTATCGGCCAGGTTCTGGACACTCATTAGGGTCCACGGGTGGTCAGATCCGAGAGTCTTCTCATACCCCTGCAATACACGCCGATTCATCGTTTCCGATACGTCGTACTTGCCTTGGTATTCCAGCACGACCGCCAGGTTGTTGACACTGGTTAGGGTATCTTGGTGGTCCGGTCCAAGTGTCCTCTCATGCCCCTCCAATGCACGCCGATTCATGGCCTCCGATTCAAGGTACTTCCCTCGCGACCGGAGCGTATCGGCCAGGTGCTGAACACTAATTAGGGTCCACGGGTGGTCAGATCCAAGAGCCTTCTCGTACCCCCGCAACGCACGCCGATTCATCGCTTCTGATACATCGTATTTTCCTTGGTCTTTCAGCACGAACGCCAGATTGCTGACACTTACTAGGGTGTCTGGATGGTCCGGCCCAAGAACCTTCTCACGCCCCTCTAGCGCAAGCCGATTCATCTTCTCCGATTCATCATAACTTCTCCGCCCTCTCAACGCAGCGCCTAGGTTACTGACACTTAAAAGAGTGTCCGGGTGGTCCGGCCCGAGAACTCTCTTACGCCCTTCCAGTGCACGCCGATTCATCTTCTCTGATTCAATGTACTTTTTTTGGTGCTCCAGTACCTCAGCCAGATTATTGACGCTGGATAGGGTGTCGGGGTGGTCAGGTCCAAGAACCTTCTCGTACCCCTCAAGTGCATGCCGGTTAACCCTCTCTGACTCCTCGTGCTTTCCTTGGCAGTCCAGTACCAGAGCGAGGTTGTTGGCACTTATGAGAGTATTAGGGTGATCTAGCCCAAGAATCTTAGCGCGTATCTCTAGTGCATGTCGATTCGTCGCTTCCGATTCGATGTACCTTCCCCGGCGTTGCAAAACCTCGGCAAGGTTGCTGACACACGTCAGGGTGTTGGGGTGTTTTGGTCCAAGAACCTCCTCATACCCATCCAGTGCATGCCGATTCATCCTCTCCGATTCGTCGTACTTTCCCTGGTGTCGTAGCACCATGGCCAGGTAGTTGACCGACTGTAGGACGTCCGGATTGTTTGGACCCAATGACGGCTCAATATCTCCTAGTAGATTTCGGAATATATGCTCTGCCACTGTAGCCTTTCCCTGATATGCGGTCACAGCCCCCAGGAGTATGAATCTCTTCCGACCATCCTCATCCCAGTCATACTCTTTGCCCTCCTCTCGAAGCGCAATACATCGACGAGATTGAATTTCCGCATCATTGTAGGAACCCATATCTAGAAAATACTGTCCCATGCGAAAAATGAGCTCTTCGGCAATGGGATCCGTCATATATTTAGTTACGGCGAGGGCGTGAGGGATGTATGCGGGACCAATATATCGCCACTCGTTCTCACATCGAGGGAACAATCGGGAAACCACTTCCAACGCCGCGCGCCTCCATTGATCCAACTGTTCTGTCGGTAGGTACACCTGTAAAGATAGTTGGACCAAACCATGTAGCTCATAAAGTGTCGTGTCCTCGCGTTTCACAGCCGTAACTAACGAGAATGCCAATAGTTTTCCAATGGCTTGACGAAACTCGATCGGATCATCCATCCCTTTCAAGCCACATTGGCTCAGCAATTCCTCCGGTATGTTCTGGCGATCGAAGAATGCAATTATGCGCAAAAGATCCGCTGCTATCGGCATCTGCTGCGCGATCCGGTTAAAAGTCACAAAGTAGGTGGTCAGGATGCTTTCGGTCATGTCAGCCTCTCGTTGGATCTCGCAAAATGGCCGGGAAAGTAGTCTCTTTGCCCACTCGTCGCTCCCCCGGAAAATAGTCCAGTAGGCGGAGGGTGGAGTCCCGGTTTCCGTCATGAAGGCCGCCGCACCTATAATCGCCAGGGGCACGTGATGCAAGGATCCCAGAATCATAGTCATAACCTCTTCCTCCCCACCTCCTATAGTGTCCCAACTACCAAGGCGTCTCGAAAACAATAGCTGGGCTTCCTCCTCCCCCATCTTTCCCACCCCGATCCTTTCGCACCCCTGCCGAACTGCAACCTGGCGAGATCTGGTCGTAAATATTAGAGTGCCACAAGGGCCTTGTGGCACAAACTTAGCGATGGGACCGCTGTTGCAAATAAAGTCCTCCTCGTTGTCGGCGTTGTCAATCACCAGAATCCAATTGCCACTGTCCTTGGCCTTCGAACCACCTCTTCACACTCGATAGGAATCCCTCTTCATCGGTATCAGCGCTGGCGGGAGGGATTTGAATCTGTTGTGCAATAGCCCTGAAGCCTTCACTAAATTTTAATATTCTACTCCCTTGCACCCAGAAAACATGACGGTCTCCCTCGTTCTTTCGCTGATAAAGGTATTCGAGGGCAATCTGAGTTTTTCTGAGGAGTGTTAGGGGAGCCTTCATACAACGAAATGATGAAAACACACCCAGAACCGCCTAATCCCTGAAGTGCGATCCGGTTATGGCCACTACGGTCGGCAAGCCTTTTTACCGACTCAATGACTTCTTCACGACCAGTGAAATTGCGGTTTCTGCCGTAGGGAATTATGCGATGAAGCCTAGGTGCTTCTTCCAATTGTGATGACCTGTTAGTTGTTTTGCCAGAATCCCCACGGGAAAGTTGATGATACCTTGGCTCCCAGCTCTAAACTCACGCCCCCTGTCTTGTGTTCCGAGATAGGTAAAACTGATCTGGTTACCCGTGATTATGTTGTTATTATTATTACTACCAGAAACATTATGATCTCCGGAATTCCCGCTGGAGTCTCCAGTGATACAGCCTGGGGCTTTCCTGCGAAGATTATTAGCTGAATGCTTCTTTTTAGAATTACAGACATTGAAGGGAATGGAAACCCACCGATCCATCAAGTGTTTAGCTCACCGTGGAACTATTCGCGAGGGACGGATACGAAAGGGATGAGAGGTCGCTGGGATATGGGTATATGTGGACGGAAATGTATGATAGCCTATTTTTCCCGGCGGATAATTTGGTCCCGGATCGTTTCGCGAGCCCTGAAAGAAGTAAATGACATGAAGTAGGGTATGGTAGAACGTGTAGCTGATGGACCAACCTTGGTGCAGCGGAAAGCAATTATCTGGTTTTGACACAGCCCGGGGGTGTCGCCCTAGCTAGGACTATTGGAATTCGGCGAAGACGGAGGATTGGGGGTAAGACCACGGGGTGGGGTATTGGGGGCCAGGAATGGGTATGAAGGGGGGAATTCATTCTTCAGATATCAGGAGCCTTTGCGGGGAAGCTTGGGCTGAGAAAAGGGGAGGGAAAAGCAAGTATGCTCAGCTAACCAGGTTGCTCGCTCTTTGCCGTGTGGGCGGTGTGGGTTACAGGTACGGTAGTCTAATCGGGTGGGCTTTGGTCGCGGATCGGATGAGGACTAGCGTGTAGTGCATGTCTCACTACCCCACCTGATACACCGGATAAAATACTCGAGTACAGTCGCACCCCGCTATCCCGGATCCCGCTGAACCGGATACCCTGCTGCACCGGATAGAATCTTCGGCTCCTCTAATTCCTCACAGAAATTACCCCCTTGAACCGGAAAACTTGAAGGCGGTTTTCGGATTCGTATGAGATTTTGGGAAATCATATCCCCTGTTCCCATAGAAAATTAACCTGCTGAACCGGATGCTATAACTACTGGCTCAAAGGCTAGTCCAAAAGAGGAAAGAAAGGCAGAACAGAAAGTAGATACAGTGGAGTAAAAGAGTAAGAGGACACATAGAATCGTGTCGGGTGCTATGTCGCTTCGGTAGCTATGTCGGGAACTCGGGTACGCAGACCGTGTATATTTGTGACTAGGTATAACTTACTGTATTCATAGAAAACGATACCTCCTTGTTCTCAAATCCACACCACGGGCGTACCTAGGTTCCCGACATACCCCCCGAACCGACAGAGCCCCCGACACGACTCTAGTGAGAACATCGGGATTGTGGTTCTTGAAAACCCCAACAGATGATAGATAATTCACCAGTTCAATCCCAAAACCTCTGTTACTGGCCCAGTCAATCATTAGAAAAAAAGGGCTAGGCTAAGATAGAGGTAGAGTATATTCCTAGTAGTAACCTAGAGGAGGAGAACAGAACCAATGGTATTAATGCCGCCTACGACAATTTGATGAGAGTAAGCTTCTTCTCACGGTGGAAATACGATAGTACTCCCTCAGGCTCTCTCTCCCCCGTTGTTCCGGACAAAATCTGTGAAATCTGACCATCCGGGATAGCGAGGTGCGACTGTACTGTAAGCGGGTTTCCTCTTGCCGTACTGTATCACAACCAAAAGAAAGGCGCTAGTACTAGTACTCGTGCCGTACTCGCCCTGCGACACGAGTGGCAGCCGGCTATCGCCCTTCTTTCGACCCATTCTAGAGTTCTAACAGAAATTGTGATATTGTGCAAGAGTACTCGTAATTTTTAATATTAAACAGACCGTGAAACACATTATTACTAGAAGTCCTCTTGGCGTGCAGCGATTTGGACAAACCGGGAGTATCCGACAAATATCCCAGACATTCACCGTAGAATAAAATGCAGTAAGTGGGATAGAGCATGATTCCCCATCGAATCGCCTTCTCCGGTACGAGCAGCTTGCATCCTCTCTAGTTTGGATAATACATTTACTGTACTAGAATAATTGAGCCTCATGTGGGGAAGTTTCTGCTGCCTCCTCTGATAGGGTGTCGCTTGTTGTTTTTTATTTTCCTTTTTGCTCTCATACAGGTGAGGCTGAGAGGGCGGTTCTCGGTGATCAGTTTTCTCACATGTCCCACCTCCTATCTAAGAGTTGGAGTGTTTTTTTACCACGGGGCTCAATCATCCCAGTGAATGCCGTATTGTTCAATAAGGCCAGGTTTGCTGGTTGGCGAACCGCGCAAAAGTTGATACATTTCCGACTCTTTCAAATCTCTGCAGGTGTTATGATCCGATACTAGTAGCGCGAGCTTTAGAAAAATCCGGGGGTCACTTAGCGTGCCCAGATGACGATTTCAAACTCAGTTTCTTGTCATCTAAAATGGGCTGCTAAACACTGGTCGGAACATCACGACGTTCTCTGAACATGATTCCACTGATTTCATCACGTGAGTTCATACCGTTCGGGTGGTCTTAACCAAGAGGGATCTATTCACAGGATCCGGGGATGCTGCGCGATTTCCAAAAAAAAAAACAAGTAGAGATAAATCCTTAATGCTAACGGGGTAGGAACAGATAGAAAAGTAGCAAACCTACGGCCAGTCGTTCGAGAAGTGATTTACCCCAGTGCCATTAGAATGAAAGAAAAGGGGTACCGCAAATATGTTGAAAATCACCGGCGTTCACCCCGCATGAATGCGAGTTTCCTTTGTACCTTTCCCATGGTGCTAATCTTTAGTGCTAGCTTTCCATTGCGGGTCATTATCAATTACGGAGGAAGAACGAGTATTTCTGGCTTCTACTTTGTATACTTTATATAAGGAGTCGAGGACATGGCCGGCAATCCTTGGAGAGCATAGCGGGCGCGGAGGATGGATCAGAACTAGTGTTGTGCACGAGCCGAGCGGACTCGAGCTCTTCGAGTCCGGGGGGGCCTCGAGCCGACTCGAGTCTCTTAGCGCTGCTGCCGCTTATCTGTCAAACCATCGCAATCTCCTACCGCCGCAACTCCATGTCTCATACACCACCACCTCCGCCTACCACCCCCCGCCTCCTACCACTACCAATGCAGTACAAAAAAGCGCAATCGCATGGTAGGTAGGACTATCAGATTGCTTATGCTAACCAAGGCCTGGCTTGGGCTACCGGAGGTGGAAACATGGGAAGAGATCGAGGAAACCCGTGGGGAAGATGGGAGCTATGAGGCAGACACAGAAGGAGGTGGTGAACTTCCCCAGGAATTGGACTCGGGGATAGTGGGAAGGTCATTTGGCTAGTTGTATTTGTTTTCAAGTTGCTATACACAATTGTTGGTTGATTTGAATGATAGTGGCAGTGTGTAAACGTATCGTGGCCACTCTAGACTCAAGCCTCTTGGCGGCCCGAGCCTGGCTCGAGTCCTCGAGTCTAGGGGTGCCACGAGCTGGCTTGTGAGCAACACAAATCAGAACAGAGCGTGGAGACAGGCGGGATTGTCTCCGGAAGGATTTGTGAGAGAAGGATCATGTCCTAGTTCCCCACACTGTCTATATAAACCCTTCAAACCACCATAGATACAAAGAACTAGCAAGTTACGAATCCGGAGAATATACAACAGTTTCCTCCTTGGCTTCACATTCTTCCACACTCGCACATACCTATCTCTCGCAATCCGCACCTCATAACAAAATAGGAAGCAGGAGGGTGCGGTGCGCTTGTAGGCGACAAAGTAACGTAAAATCACGCAAAATGTACAATCTGCCGAAGAGAAGTTTGCCTGGGCGAGTTAACAGATCACGAGTGTCTGTAAACGAGATTCAACACCACACAAAGATTAGTCCTATGCTGGTAATTTACCTTATAAACATGATTCATAACCTGACTCCGCTTTACCAATAAGGTCGAGTTCCTACATACTGTATCCACAACAGCACTAGCCACATGATTGTGGCGTTCATCTGGAATCATATTCTCCACCTCCTTGGCACTGGAGAGAGATGCGAAGATTAGGGAATTGGGATACTAGGCGGTGGGGTCCAATGAATCATGTGGGCGTGGGCGCGCATCCTCAAGAATGGGATGCAGAGTCCTAGAAGTGTCGTGAAGGGAGATTAGGAACTGTTCGTTTATGGTCCCTAAGTTCAACCTGCGGATAGCGCGCGATATAGCAATAAGTGTAGAAATTTTCTGGGGTGTACTGGGTTCCGAGGGACTGTGCGGAATAGGTGTATGGAGCACCAGCCGGATAGAGAAAGGGATATCCCACCCCTCAAATGTCTATACTGATATCCTTGATAGAGAGCGCATGTTGTTATTGCTATTAAAGGTAAACAAACTCACTATTATTATTGATTTTAGATATAACAGAAAGCTCCCTGAAAATACGAGGAGAAATCTGCAAAGATAAAAATGAAAATAGGACAATTTCACAAAATTCAAGCCTGATCAAGGAAAATAAGTATGGAGATTTTAGTTTTTTATTTTGTGATTGCTATTAAGGATAAACCATGTTATCAATATCTCTCATTTAGATATAAAAAGAATATCCTTAAAATTAGCTACAGAAATTCCAGACAATCACAATCAAAAATAATAATATTTGGAGAAACAAAATCTGACAAAAGAACAGAGGTACTACATATTTGTTTCCTATATTGTGTCATGGTCACCCGGCATGGCATGAGGAAGGGAACTGGGTTTTTCATTGCATATGTTGGTTGTGGTTTTCTTTGGTTGCATAGTAGGATTTCCTTTGTGTTATGATTGGGACAGGTTGCCATGCGATGGAAACTAGTAGAACCTGATGGAAGGATCGTGGCTGTGTGCGATGCCAAGGACTTTCTTTTGTATTAGTGATCACGGAGGATTTCCTATCTATATAAGGAGGTATGCCTCCTTATATTTTATGTTCTTTACGCAATCTGGTAATCTCCTTTAGACACCCTTTCTTGCACAGCAGCGGGCCTGGTCGCCTTCTTTTGCTAAGAGCTTCCCACAGGAATTACTCTGGCTCCTCAGATGGTTTCGACCGTCTCCTTACAGT